GGCCCCAGGCATGGCAGGGCCTCATGGATCCACAGAGAATCAGTCCAGCCTCTGGTGGTGGGAGAGAAGCACAGGGAATGACTGGCCCCTAGAGGGATAGTTCTGCTACCCTGCACCACTGCAGAGCCTCCTGACTTCAAGCGTGGTGTGCTCCATCTGAGGGCTCCATTCCCATCTGTAAAAAGGGGTATGGATCCCTGCTGTGGCTGCTTCAGGGATGATGGGGAAGGAGAGTGGATGTGAAACTACCTTGAGAAGTTGTAGTATACTACTTGGCTACTGCTACCATTTAAATATGGTTTGTCCCCAAAACTCATGTTGAGGCTTCATCCCCAATGTAACAGTGTTGAGAGATAGTAGGACCTTTAAGAGGCATTTGGGGCCGGGCGCGGTGGCTCATTCCTGTAATCCCAGCAATTTGGGAGGCTGAGGCGGGTGGATCACCTGAGGTCAGGAGTTCGAGACCAGCCTGGCCAACACGGCAAAACCCCATCTCTACTAAAAATACAAAAATGAGCTGGGTGTGGTGGCCGGTGCCTGTAATCCCAGCTACTCGGGAGGCTAAGGCAGGAGAATTGCTTGAATCCGGGAGGCGGAGGTTGCAGTGAGCTGAGATCATGCCATTGTACTCCAGCATTTGGACCATGAAGGATCCACCCAATCAAGGGATTCATGCTGTTTTTGGGGAGTGAGTTCTTGCTCTGGCAGGACTGGTTTAGCTACCTGGTGAGTGGGTTGCTATAAAGCAAGATCACCCATGTTTTGTCTCTTTTGCATGTGCCTACTTGCCACTCTTGCAGGCGTTCCTGCCATTAGATGCCATCCATCATGTCAGAATGCAGCATGAGGCCCTCGCCTGATGCAGCCACTCAGTCTTGAACTTCCCAGCCTCCAGAATCATGAGCTAAATAACCTGTTTTCTTTATAATTACCCAATTTCAGGTATTCTGTTATAGTAACAGAAAATGGACTATGATAGCTAGCACGGGCTGCTGGTAAGTGGGAAGGAGGTAGGAGCTTAGGGGCAAGGATGGTGGAGGGGGGATTGATTCATACAGTTTCAGGCTGCCCTTCCTGGAACCTGGGGACTCTAGATCTGCTCAATCCAGGGGTCTCCTATTGAGGCATAATTTCCTTGTTAGAGGAAGTAACATATTGCTTTGGGAGGCAGAGGCAAGAGGAGGATTGCTTGAGCCCAGGAGGTCAAGGTTATAGTGAGTTATGATCATGCCACTGCACTCCAGCCTGGGTGACAGAGTGAGGCCCTGTCTCTTAAAAAAAAAAAAAAAGTTGTTAATTGTTTTAAAGGGAGTAACATCAGTTCCTCAGCGTCGGGTCCATTTGGGGGCAGGATTGGCCTGATCCCCAATATCAAGCAGACCTAATGGAATGTTCCTTCTTCCCCAGCTCCTGCCCATGCTGACTGCCAGGTTGCTGGGAGGAATCAGAGCAGCAGCAGCAGCATCCACCATTAGTTAGGCCCTGGCTCTGTGCCCAGGGAATCCCCTTGCCGCACTGTGATGTTTGGATGCATTATTACCCTCATTTTGTAGATGGAGCTGTATATAAGATCACACAGTACATGGCAAATTGGCCTAGATCCAAAGCCCTGATTCTATCTTTCTTCTCTCTGGCCTTCTCAAAGAAGGAAAAGGAAGAGGAATTGATTTCAGGAGAGATTTCTCACCCCCTCTGCTTGGGAGTAAGGTCATATCCCCTTCCCAGACCTGGGTGTCCTGGGCTCAGGCCCCACCTGGTGTGAGCCCAGCCAGCTGGGCAGGGCTAGACTCATGAACTCGGCAGACAAAGGTCACCATTTCCACACGCTGCTCCTCCCGGTGGTGAAGGCCATAAGTCTGTAATGGACAAGGGGACCCTCAGCCCAGGGTTGGGACAAGTCCATGCATCCCTCAGGCTGGCCGTTCAACCCCCCGACCCCTGTGTGCAGCTTCTCCCACCTGGATCTCAAAGCCAAAGGTCTGGTTATCCTCCTTCTCCAACGTCAGCACTTTCCTGCAAGAAACACAGGGGTCAAGACAATCAGGATTAAAAGGTGTAGCAGTCCCATAGCTTGGGCCTCCCTGGATATTGGCCACTGGTCTAGAACATTCCAGCAGGACTCAGTCTCCAGTGACAGCTCAGTCTCCTCACAGATTATTGGAATGTCTTTCCCATACCCAACTGAAATCAGCCTCGTGGAGCCACAGAGAACCAATCCAGCCTCTAGTGGTGGGAGGGAAGCACAGAGAAGGGCCGGTCCCCTGAAGGACGGGCCGGCTGAGTTTTTTTAGCCACACCCCAGCTTTCCAGTGAGCCCTACAGTACCACTTACTGAATAGCTAAGGCCCCAAATTCAGCCACAGCCTGGAGCCTCCTCTGTTCCACAGCTTTGGGGAGAGGACTGGCCCCACCCCCAGAGGCCAGTCACGAGGCTCAGCAAGACCACAGCTGCTCCTCCCAGTTGTGCTGGGGCCAGCCCACCAGATGTGGGGGCTGGGGGAGGGGAGCCTCGAGGCCGCCCCTTCCCGCACTGAAGGCCTGCCCGCTGGACACAATGGTCTGGAGCCGCTCCAGATCCTCGCCTGCTGGGGGAGCCCAGAGTTTCCTCTGCCCACTCCCACCCCCTTCCTTCCTGCCCAGCCAGAGGCACAGTTAAAGCAGCCTCCAAAGGCCCCTTCAAGTAGCTCAGCCTCGGAAAGGCCCTGGAGACCAGGCTCCTCCACTCCCAGCCTGACCCAGATATTCCCCCAAATGCTGAGCAGCACCTCCTGACTCCAACTCGAGCCCCTTTCGCTCTGAACAGCAGGCCTTTCCCCTCTCTCTGTACTACTGGGGCAGGGAGCAGGGTGGCTGGGAGTTCGGCGTCTACCCCAGTGTTCTAGGGTTTTTTGGAAGGGTCAGCAAACTTTTTCTGCAAAGGGCCAGATGGTAAATGCTTTAGGCTTTCTTTGCAGGCCCCTTATGATCTCTGTCATATATTGTTCTTTGTTTTTATTTTTATAACTCTTTAGAAATTATTAGCTCAAGGGCCAAACAGGCCAATCTGGCCAGCAGGCCAGTTGCTGATCCATTTTAGAGAAAGTCAAGCCCAAATCAGGGATGGGACATGAGTAGAGAAGGGAAACTGAGTAGAGAAGGGAAACTTCTGCCCACACTCAGATCCCTCCTTAGAGGGCTGCCACAGGCTGGGACCAGAAGAGGACTGACATTCTGGAGGCAGGGGTAGCCAGCCCCAAGCAGCTGGACACAGCCTGGCTAAGGTCTGGGCCCATGGGGTTTGCCAAGGTTGGGAGGGCTCAGGGGAGCCCAGGAGGCCCGGGTTAGGACATTCCCCATAGACTTTGCCTACACCCCCTCCCACCTCCCACATCCGTTCATCCAGATCTCCCCAGGGAGGGGTAACTGGCAGGGACTGGGGGTGGGTTGAAGAGCACCTAATGACTCAAAAGTCCCTACCTCCTTTCTCTGCCACCCCCTTCACACAGCCCACACCCCCACCTGCCCCTCACTCTCAGCGGGGGAGCCATGCTTAAAGGCTAGGAGAATGACTACCCTCGCTAGGCTGAGATGCTGTCCTGGCACCGCCCAACCCAGCACCTCACCCCTTTGGACCATGGCAGGGGCTGGGTGCTGGTGACTCACCGCTGCTGTTCAGGACTCTGGCTGAGATTCTTCCAGCGGAATCCTGAGCCCTGGGCAGGAAGATGGTCAGAAGGAGCAGGTGAGGCAGGACTGTCCTTGAGCAGATGCTGAGAGTGCTACCCTGGACACAGCGACCCACTTCCTGTTTGCCTCTTGCAACTCCACATCCACACCTGCTTTGGTGCTGGTACAACTATTTGCCAAGTGTCACTACTGGCACCACTCCCCAACTTTCTCTACGGCCTTACCTTCATACCTGAGATTGCAGGGACACAACCATCCTCCTGGGTTCCAGATCCATGAACCTCTAAGCCCTTGTTGGTTTCCACACTGGCAGTGGGTGGGGAGATCATTATTCTAGAATGGTCTCCACCCCGAGGGCCCATGTCTGTAGAGGCTCAGGCCATCCAGACTCCCAAAGCTGAGGCAGGGGCTCTTCCCCAGTGGGATTCAGAGGATAGGTGTCCCCTGGGCTCACCTATCAAGGTGCTCCGAGGACCTTCTGTCAGTTGGGTCTCTCCATCTAATTTCTCAGCTACAGACAGTGGCTTGGGAGGGCTAGGGTCAGGGACCCCGGCCTGAAGGGCTGGCAATCCCAGCCAGAATGTGGGGACATAGGTGCCAGGTCTCCTAAGGTACAGCCCGTTTCAGGGACCAGTTGTGGATCCCAGCTGCAGGTGACCAGCTGTGCCCAGCTACACCTGGGTCTCTCTCCATTGTCATACATTTTGTGCTTTCTGGGACAAAACATCTTAGATGTCAAACTTGTCAGTAAGTCTCACTAAAGGAGCGAGATCGGGAGTTCTTTTGGGGCAGGGGGGTGGGGGAAGGATGAGAGATGAAGGTTCCTGTCTCTTCAGGGTCCTTGATAAACTAGTCTCTTACCCTCCCTAACTTTTTGGTCCTTGGAGGAGGTCCAGTCCCAGAGCAGCCCTTTCCTTTGGAGCCTGCACAGCCCAGGGCCTTTCTGGTCTGTGCCTTTGCTAACCCTCCCCCCAAGCTGCCCAAGGCAAGGAAGGGAAGGGTCAGAACCAGATTGGCCTCAGGGGTGGGGACAGTTCCCAAATGGCCAGGGAGGAAGGACTGGGCAGCACAGAGAGACCCCTTTGTCTTTCAACATGATTTTCATAAAATGCAAATTCTCAACAAGCTGTTCATTGTGTGGGGGCTAGCTGGGGGCCAGGGGCAAAGGAGGGTGGCTGGGTGAGGAAAGGCCACCAGGCCCCTCTCCTTAACCTGGTGTTGTGTAGGTTCTGAGCCTCAGGTCCCCTGGGGCCAGAGGAAGAGGCTGGCGGAGGGGAGACTCCGAGGTAGGCGCGGCCCGCATCCTTCCTGCCCCGTGGGCTCCCTGCGACCCCTCCCACTACGTCCGGTTCCGGCAGAAGTCCAGGGAGCTGTGGCCCTCGCGCCCCGAACATCAGACGTGGGGCCAGGCGGCAGGCCCCGAGCCCAGGAATCGGGGAGTCCCCTCGGAAGGGTGTGCTCTCCGGAGTCAGCGGCGCCCCACGCACTTCCTCAGGGTGAGAACGCACGCGGCACGGCCACCGGCCCACCTCTCCCACCGGGGGCTCTCAGACCTTCAACTTGTCTAGGGCCGTCTCTGCCCCTGGGGCGAGGGGATCCTGGGGATTCAGGACACCTGGCCACGAGGAGGCGGGGCATGGGGAGCAGAAAGCCAGATGGAGCGAGTAGGATAAGGGGGGTGCCGGGAGGAGTCAAGGAGGGAGAGAGGGGGCGCGATGGGGCGGCGCGTATAGGGCGAGGAGTTGAGAGCCACCGAGCCTGGGCACGGTGTGCAGGCGAGGGCCACAGCCTTCGGAGCAGCGGGGAACGCGGGGGAGTCGAGGCACCCAGCGGGGAAGAAGGTGGGTGGGGGACTCCGCGGACGCCGAGGAGAGGGCACTGCGGGGTCAGCAGGTCCTGTAGGGGGACGGAGTGGGGCTAAGCAGGTCCTGAAGGCGGGCGGGGGACGCACCTTTCGGCGAGGCAGGGTGCCCCCGGACACGGCGAGCGCGCGGTACAGCTCGGCAGGGTGATAGTCCTCCAGCGCCGCGTACAGCTCGTCCGCTGGGGGCCCAGGGGTGGCGGCTGCTGCAGGGGGTCCCGGGGTCGGGGCCGGAGCTGCGGGCGCGACTTCCGAGTCGGGAGCCCGGGCGGCGGGGTCCGGGGTGGCCGCCGCCTCCTCCTTCTGCTGCAGCTTCCTGAGTCGGCGGAGGGTCATGGCTTCGGCGCCGGGCGCCGGGTGGAGACGGCGGTGGCTCCGCTCGGGGATGCCAGCCGGGCGAGCCGCCCGTCACCTCCCTTTATAGGCTCTGAGAGAGGGGCGGGGTTGGGGGCGGGCGGGGAGCGGCCTCGGGTGGCCTCGCCCCCAGCACGCAGGACCCTCCCCACGGGGCGCAGCCGCCCTGGAGCCCCGCCCACGGCGCTCGACGGCCAGGGAAACTGCGGGAGCTGGGCGCTCGGTGGGGGAAACCGAGCAGCGGACGCGAGGGGGCGGGATGAGGCCCCCAGGGCGGGGCTCGGGGCTGCGTGATACCTGGAGGGGTCTGTGAAGGGACGTTGAGCAAGGTTTGACATTTAGGTAAGGATAGCTCTGGCGATTCATGGAGCGGGGCACGGTAAGAGGTCACTGTAGGAAGCCTGGGGAGTCAGGGAGGTGGGGAGAGTCAAGGAGATCCAGGGGGCTGCAGGAGACTCTAGGGCAGGGAGAGAGGCAGCGGGGCTGCGCAGCAGTAGGGGTGGAGGCCGGACAGAGGAGGGAGGAGACTCCCTGAACTCTGCACAGAAGCCCCCAGGGAGTGAGAGGGCCCAGGATTTTCCCTTGACACAGCTGCCCCAGAAGAGCTGAAAGAGGCTGCCCCCTGTTCCCACGTCTAGGAGAAAGGGAAGAGGTGGAAACCCTGAAAGCAGTAGGCTTAATTCTGGCCTATCCCCTCCGAGGGGCTTGAGTGATCCCTGCTGAACACACCTTTCCTCAGCTCCTGATGCCAGGCCCAGATCCCCCTTCCCAGCAGACAGACGCTTACTATGGACTTGACTCAGGAGGTTGGGATGAGCCCAGGCCGAATCGGAGTTCAGGGCTGCGGGGAGGATGGCCATGCTCAGCCGTTCTCTGACCCCATCGTAGGGACCATCCCCCAGGCTGTTACCATGGCTGCCAGGCGGTAGGAGAGGCGGGAATGGCCCAGCCGAAGTCTCTGTCGTCAGTGGTGCCCGAATAAGAAGTGAGAGGAGGAAGTGGAAGGCAGCGTCTGGTGTCTAAAGAGCGGCTAGCCACCACAGGGCGTCAGCAGCACAAGCTGGGGACTCCATGTCCCAGCACCCATCGACCAAGAAGCAGAGGCGGCAATGCGGTGCCCCTGTCTGTCCCCTCCTCCCCCAGTCTTCCCAAATCTGTTATGCCTTCACAGTTAACATTTATTGAGCACTTACCATGTGCAGTGCGCACTGTTTGTTCTGTGTGTCCTTTTACATACATGCATTAACTCACTTGGTCTTCATAACAACCCTACGAAATAAGCACCATTATCTTCCCTTACAGATGAGGAAACTGAGGCCCGGAGAAGATAAGTAACTTGCCCTAAGTCACTCAGCGGCAGAGCTGAGATTCAAAGCCAGACAGCCTGGTTGCAGAGCCTGCAATCTAACCACTCTGTGCTGTTATCCAACATTTAAGCCCTGCTCTGTGCCAGGTACTGGCTGGGCCCTGGGGTTACAGAGGCTCTTGGCCTGGTAGGGAGTGGTACCTTGCACATGTGCTGCGTTAGACACGTGGCATAAGGAGCACAGAGGGGCAATGGCCACGTCCACCTGCGAGGCCAGGAAAGGCTTTCTGCCTCCTGCCTGTCTCAGTTCTCGTGCCTGGCTCAGTCTTCTTTCTTCTTCCTTCTTCTCTAGTCTCCTTGACTCTGTGTTCTCCTCCCCACCCCCAGTCCTCTAGGCCCCCATCCCCTACAAGAGGTGTGGGTGGAAGAGGGTGCTTTTCCGCCCCTTAGTGATTGCACAAGTCCAGATGGCAGGATGCTTGTTGGGTGGGGGGCCGGGGTGGATTGAGGACTGCCAGGAGCTAAGAGGTAGCTCTCTTAGTGCCTTCTTCTCCCTCCTCCCACCTCCCGCCTTGGCACCACCAAGTGGCCATCAGCTGAGGGGCCGAGGGGGTGTCGGTGGGGAAACATGGGACTCTATTGTGAAGCATTAGCACAGATGGACCCCGGGACCGTCTGTTGCCTGCTCCTGACAGACGGCATCTGTGGGGGGTGGGAGGGGGGAGGCGCAAAGTGGAAAGGCAATGATATGTATTCCATTCATTCCATTGCTTATCCCCAAAGGGACCCAGCAAAAGGGCATCTTGCACAACCTCCTCTGTGAAGAAGCCACTCCAGCTATCACAGAGGGTTACCTACTAGACACATCTTGCCTGAAACCTGGAGAAGTGGATGCCACAGGTGTGGCCCAGCCCCTGTGTCTAACAGCCTGTGGAGCCAGTCATCCTTCAGCTGAGGCGGAGGCAGACTTCCCCAGTTTATGCAGGACAGTCCACCTCCGGGCCTCCAAGTGAGCAAACACCACCAGAGGACTGAAATTTACGCCTTGTTTCCTCCTCTTGCTAGGCAGAAAGCCCTAGAGAACCCCAGAGTAAAGGTGGACCCAGGAAGTGCAATTTTTACCAAGTCCTTTGTGTGATTCCTTAAATCCTGGGATTTCAGAGCCAGAAATGGCCTTATGGTCTGGAAAGGATACCGTATGGTCCAAGCCCTCATTTAACAGAGGCAACTGAAGCCAGGGAGAGAAAGAATCATAACAGGGACTAGAACCCACTAGAACCCAGGTCTCTTGACTCCAAAGACTGTTTAATTCAGCTGCTGGTAGCTCCCTGAGAGCTCAGAGGTCCCTGCTTGCTTCCCCCTCCCAATCTCCCCAGTTTCTCCAAGGAGGGGCCCCCCGCAGCCCAGGATGCCACACTGTGGAGTGGTGATGCCCTCTGGTGGCCATGAGTCTCTTGGCGGAAAATCTTCAAGCCAGGCGGAAAGGCTGGAAGACTCCACCTGGAATCCCAGCCCTGTTTCAGGATCCCCCACGGCTCTTCTTCCTCCCAAGAGGATCTGGGCCAACTGGGATGCCAAGCTCCACTTTGGTCACTGAGTTCTGGAATCTCACAGCGTCAGTTAGGAAGTTTTTTGCATCAAAGCTGCTTCTGCTGCAGGTGAAATTCAGCAGGGAGAAGGCAGACTGCTGGCAGGCGTTCTTGGTGTACTAACCTTTGCATGCCAGGCAGTATATGTGAGGCCTCTAAAGCTTTGCCTTCTCCAACTCTCCACAGCTTTCTCCTAAGCCTAAGTCTCTTGGCTAGCATCTGTTCTCATCCCATCTTCTGCAGCCCTTTAAAGCTTGGGCGGTGGGGGAAGCGTTCTGCACACCACCTGCAGCTTCATACCAGGACACATCCCCTCCTCCTCCCTCCAGGAAGCCTCCCCACAAAACCTCCACCGCTCTGGCTCCTCAGACATCTGTACTCAATCTGGACCTTCTTCCCAAGCCAGCCTCTCTCAGAATGAGCTCTCAGTATCCCTCCCTTTGCTCTGCCTGCCCTGGCTCCTGACACTCCTGGCTGGCCTGGGGTGGGGGCTTAGACAGCGGGGGCCCAGCTAATGGACAAGGCCTAGGTAACGTCCCTTCTCTTCAGGACAACCCCTCGCCTGGCTATGTTAACAGTCAGCGGCCCCCCTGTGGAGGAAATTGGGAGAGCTGAGTCTTCCACTGAGCAGCTTAAGCTCTAGGGTACCATGAGGAAGTCAGAGCACCTGGGGTTAGTGCTGGCCCCTCTGAGTCTCAGAGCTCTAACATGGGCCTTGTCCATCAGTAGGGCCCAGAACTGTCAGAAATGAATAATTCACTGGGAGTTCCTCACTGGCTACTGTCACTGCTTCTAAGCTGGGGAGGTGGGAGGGAGAGGGCCTGGGGCCCTGGCTCTCTGGTCTGTCAGGAATGAGGGGCTGGGCCCCCAGTTGCATGACATCACCTCTTGTGGGCGGTGGACAGCTGGTGGGCAGCTGACTGGGCAGGGAGTCGCTGTTTTTCTTCATGGCTCCTATTGCCGGACCATTTCCATGGGACAGTGTCTGTGTGTGTTCGGGGGCCTAGAAGAGAGAATCTAGCAGTATGGTTCATCTGGCACAGTCCAAAGATCTGATCCTGGGGGGTCTTGCAGTAGGATCAAGGTAGTTTATTTGCATTGAATGTAGGTGGTCTCTGGGTCTAGTCCTGTTCAAAGGCCAGGGACCATCTGGCCTCTTGGATGAAAATGGCAGGGCATCTCTGGCATGAACGGGTTGGAGTGGCAGAAGGAAGGAAGGTTAAGTCTCCAGGTTTTCTATAGCATCTGCACGCAACTCCTAAGACATAGGGTATGTGTTATCTTACCCCGCCTTGTTTCAGAACAGTTGCACATAGTGAAGAAAGAAAATGGCAGTTCTTAGGGCCCCAGACTGCCCACATCTCTTTCCACTTGGCAAACCACTTGCTCAGCTGTTTCATCCCTGGTTCCCTCTCCCAGGGGACAGTGTTGTGTACCAACTTCCCTAACCCCCAAACACATATGCAAAACTGCCAGGCTAAGATTCTCTCTCTTTTTTTTTTTTTGAGATGGAGTCTTGCTCTGTTGCCCAGGCTGGAGTGCAGTGGCCGGATCTCAGCTCGCTGCAAGCTCCGCCTCCCGGGTTTACGCCATTCTCCTGCCTCAGCCTCCCGAGTAGCTGGGACTACAGGCGCCCGCCACCTCGCCCGGCTAGTTTTTTGTATTTTTTAGTAGAGACGGGGTTTCACCATGTTAGCCAAGATGGTCTCGATTTCCTGACCTCGTGATCCGCCCGTCTTGGCCTCCCAAAGTGCTGGGATTACAGGCTTGAGCCACCGTGCCCGGCCAGATTCTCTCTTTTACTCCAAACTGAAGTCAGCTTTCCTTTCCCTCACCATTCATATCTGATTATTCAATACAAACCTGAGTATTCTACCCACTGTCTCTCCTGCTGTTCTTCCCAGCTTTTCTTTCTTTCTTTTTTTTTTTTTTTTTTTTGAGACGGAGTTTTGCTCTTGTTGCCCAGGCTGGAGTGTAATGGCGTCATCTTGGCTCACTGCAACCTCCACCTCCTGGTTTCAAGCGATTCTCCTGCCTCAGCCTCTCGCGTAGCTGGGATTACAGGCATGTGCCCGGCTAATTTTGTATTTTTAGTTGAGACGAGGTTTCACTATGTTGGTCAGGCTGGTCTTGAACTCTCGACCTTGGGTGATCCGCCCGCCTCTGCCTCTGACAGTGCTGGGATTACAGGCGTGAGCCACTGCGCCCGGCCCCTTCCCAGCTTTTCTTACTCTGCCACCACTGCAATTCCTTTCTCAAGTCAGCACTGTGATTTTCCCAAAAGACAAACAGGATCACATCACTCCCTTTCTTAAAACCCTCTATCATGGTCTGAATGATGGTGTCCTTCCAAAATTCCTATGTTGGAACCTAATACCCAATGTGATATAGTATTGAGACATGGGATCTTTTGGGGCTGATTAGGTCATGAGGGCTCTGCCCTCATGAATGGAATTAATGCCCTAATAAAAGAGGCTTGAGGGAGCCTGTTTCCCCCTTCCACTATGTGAGGACACAGAAAGCGCCATCTAGGAGAACAGGCCCTCACCAGACACTCACTGAACCTGTTGATCCCTCGATCTGGGACTTCCTAGCCTCAAGAACTAGGAGCATTACATTTATATTGTTTATAAATTACCCAATCCAAGGAAATTTTTTTTTTTTTTTTTTTTTTGAGATTGTGTCTCACTCTGTAACCCAGGCTAGAGTGCAGTGGCATGATCTTGGCTCACTGCAACCTCTACCTCCCGGGTTCAATCAATTCTCCTGCCTCAGCCTCTGGAGCAACTGGGATTACAGGTGTGCACCACCATGCCTGGCTAATTTTTGTATTTTTAGTAGCAATGGGGTTTGGCCATGTTGGCCAGGCTGGTCTCGAACTCCTGACCTCAAGTGATCTGCCCACCTTGGCCTCCCAAAGTGCTGGGATTACAGGCAGGAGCCACCATGCCTGGCCATCAATCTAAGGTACTTAGCAGCAGCAGCCAGAGCTGACCAAGACACCCTCCAATGGCCTATTCCCTACATCAAGAATGACAAATGTGTTTTAACTTATGGGACAGTAAGCACGCTGTTGAGAAAAATGTGGAGAGAGACCAACTCAAGAGGACAAATTACTGATAGATTAGTACAGTCTGAGGTACCTGTCACAGGGCAAGTGATGGCACTGGTGCTACCTATTTGCCATTTCTGGCCCCAGGATGAATTCCTGACCTTTCAGAACTCAGCAATGGGAACAGCTCCAGCAGGCTCCCTCATCACACCCCCGCCTCCGGTTCTGCAGCCATACTGAACATGTGTGGTTCTTGAATGGCAATTATTTTTGACTAAAACCCCCTCCTCTCCTCAGTCAGCAGGCCAAAATAGATGTCTCTCTCTTGACCCCAACCTCCTGACTCTCTTGCGTTCCCACAGTATTCTATCCCTATGGTAGTACTGATCTCATTCCATCCCAGCCGTTAACTCACCCATTCCACCAGGTGGGGAGCTGCTGGAGGCCAGGGATATGTTACTTCTTTCCCGAGACACCTCATCTGTGATCCCATGGTACTTTGCATACTGCTCTGTAATGAGATTTGCCCAAATCTGCCTTATTGTTGCCTGTACAAATCCTATCTGTCTAGATTATAAACTCCTTGAAAGGCAGGGACCATGGATTGTTTAGCTTTATTTTCTTTTTTCTTTTTCTTTTCTTTCTTAAGACAAATTCTCCCTCTGTTGCCCAGGCTGGAGTGCAGTGGTGCAATCTTGGCTCACCGCAACCTGCAACCTCCACCTCCCAGGTTCAAGTGGTTCTCATGCCTCAGCCTCCTGAGTAACTGGGATTACAGGTGTGTGCCACCACACCTAATTTTTGTATTTTCAGTAGAGATGGGGTTTCGCCATAGCTTTCTATTCTACCTACCACTCCATTCATTAAGGTTGCTTGACAAATACTTCTTACAAGAGCCCAAGCTAACCAATTGTTCCTTAAACCACCCTAAGCCCCCATTAATCCCCATTTTGGCTTCCAAGGAGAATTCTCAGAAGGACCCAGGGATATCTTCCATATTCCTTAAATCCCATCCTCTGACCATGGAATCCCCAATAACTTTCATGCCACAGTTGTCCAGTTTCGTCATATGCCATTCCAGATGTTGCTGTGAAGGTATTTTAGATGTGATTAACATTTAAATCAGTAGACTTTGAGTAAAGCTCAAAAATAATACTACCCTCCATAATGTGGGTGGATTTCATCCAACCAATTGAAGGCCTTAAGAGAAAAGGCTGAGGTGTTCTGAGAAAGGATTCTGCCCTCAGGACTGCAACATCAGTTCTTCCCTGGGTCTCTTGAGCCTGCTACCCTGACTTGCAGCCCACACAACCATGAGTCATCTCTCTTTCTAGTCTATCTGTCCATCCATCCTATCGATTCTGTTTCTCTGGAGAACCCCGACTGGTAACGCCGTTCCTGGCCTGAGCCAGGGCTTCTCCTACTTCCCTCACCTGTGCTGTGCATTTCTCTTATGTTCCTGAGTCTCTTGAACTCCACCACTCCTCATTCTCGTTTGGTTGTGTTTAGCAAGCACATTCTAAGGCCTGTAGAGGTCCGAAGACATATGGGCTGGGGGACAGAAATTTAAGCTATGTGAAACAATAACCCAAGTGACACAACATTCAAATGAAGTCAAGCCTCCTGTGTCACAGGCCTCACTAAGATGAAACATTGTTGGCAACCTTCAAAGGCACAGGAAGAGGCACTAGAATGGTTGCCATTCTGATTTTCAAAATGGTAAGAGTTGAACCTGCAATCACAGCCTAGTGAATTTTAGGTCCATGCCTGGCAAGATGACTGACTATTCACAGGATGGCCTGTAAGGAGACTCATTTGAACCAGGCCGAGATTCACCACAAACCACTGTCTTTCCTTCCAATGAACAGGTAGATCGATCAAAAAGGGCCACAATGATACTTTAACAAAGTACTTGGGCTTCTTCTGCTATCTCTGTCCATCTAAAAATTATGGGCCAAGTGAAGTGGTTCATGACTGTAATCCCAGCAACTTGGCAGGCTGAGGAGGAGGTATTCCCTGAAGCCAAGAGTTCAAAACCAGCCTGGGCAACAAAGGGAGACCCTGTCTCTATTTAAAATAATAAATAGGCAGGGAGCAGTGGCTCACGCCTGTCATCCCAACACTTTGGGAGGCTGAGGTGGGCAGATCACCACCTGAGGTCAGGAGGAGATGGGCAGATCACCTGAGGTCAGGAGGAGGCGGGCAGATCACCTGAGGTCAGGAGTTCAAGACCTGCCTGGCCAACATGGTGAAACCCCATCTCTACTAAAAATACAAAAATTAGCTGGGCGTGGTGGCGGGTGCCTATAATCTCAGCTTTTTGGGAGGCTGAGGCAGGAGAATCACTTTAACCCTGGAGGTTGCAGTGAGCCAAGATCGCGCCACTGTACTCCAGTCAGGGCGACAGAGACTCTGTCCCAATAAATAAATGAACAAAAAATAAAAAATTATGGCCAGGACACAAGGACAATTTAATTAGCAGCTGATTAGGTTATTGGCATAGATGCCAAACTTAAAGCAAACTTTTAGGAGTAAGTTACTTGATTTTCTCAGCCCAGCAGAGTCTCAGACTGGGAAAACTCAGGACAATGGAAAACTCTGGGTAATAATCAGGATTTAAAAGTAGTGACAGGCTGGAGCAATGGGCATGGTCTATAGTGAAACTTAATAAAACTATAAGGTCCTGCACTTGAGTTCAGAACACCAACTTCCCTTATACAGGAAGGAGAGGGTAGCTGGATTTTACTCAATCAAGAGATGAGATGCAGTCCTGGGATGTGATCTGTGGCATAAAGCACACAGTCTGTGGGGTTCTTATTCTAGTCTGTGATATCTGTTAATACCTGGATGCAACATGTACACATCCTTTGTGGCCCCAGACTCTAGCTAGGTTCAGAAGAGAGCGGCCAGCCTGGGTGAGGAACATGGAACCAGAGCAGGACAGTGCAGTGGGGGAAGGGCTGTGCTCTGTGGTCAACATCCTGGACCCAAGGTCTTTCCACCCGTGAGCTACGTGATCTTGGGCCACTTATTTGACTTCTCCTATCCTGTTTCCTAATCCATAAAGAGAAGATAATAGTGCCCATCTCATATGGTTGCTCTGAGGATTAAAACAGTTAATATATATAAAGCAAATTTTGGCACATTGCTTAGCACGTGGTGAGTTTTCAGTAAGTATTCGCTAATATTAACTGAAGAAACTCGAAGCTTTGCTAGAAGATTCATGACAGCTGCCTTTACATATTTTAAGGGACCTTATAAGGGAAGAGAGAGTAACTGCTTTGAAAACTCTGTAGAAGTCTCATGGAAGTTGCCCAGCTCTACAGAAGGAAGGGTTTTCCACTGAGCCATGGAGCCTACAGAGGGAGCTGTGGTCCAGCATTAGCAGGAGGCCACACAGGCACCTGACAGGGACATAGCAGGGAAGCTGAGTGCCTGATGGTGAACCAGGGGATCTTGTGGGTCTCATCTAAACTGGA